TATAAAGCTCTCTTAACCTTTAAAAAAAGGTGACTACTTCTAAAGTGCCCATGGGAGTAGTCCCCGGTCCATCTTATCTCATTGGCTGTGCCTGGGAATTGTTGGGAGAGTGCTTATTGGCCTGTGCCTAAAGTGTTATCTGTCCACGTCTATTCTATAAAGCTCTCTTAACCTTTAAAAGAAGGTGACTACTAAACTGCCCATGGGAGTAGTCCCTGGTCCATCTTATCTCATTGGCTGTGCCTGGGAATTGTTGGGAGAGTGCTTATTGGCCTGTGCCTAAAGTGTACCGGAAGCAGAATTTGTAATTTAAATAAATTCAGTATAGATGACCAAATTGTAATGGTCAGGTCTGTGATGTGGTATGGTTGGGTTTACTGCTTTGGACACAGGCACAGTGACAGTCTCTGTTCCAAAGATTACAATTGCCTGTTCCTAAACCAGTCCCAACAGCTGTTTGTCCTGCTCTTCAAAATTTTCTGTACTGGAGATTTCATATCTTCCAGAGTAAGAATTCTAATTACCCTTACAACATGCTACTTAAATCATATTGGTTTTTTTTTTTTTTTTTTTTTCTTTACAACATGCTACTTAAATCATATTGTTTTGTTTTGGTTTGGTTTGTTTTTTTTTCCCCAAAACTGTCTGTCTTTAAAGCATGTTGAATAGCACTTGTATCCCTCTGTCTTAAAGCATGTTGAATAGCACTTGTATCCCTAATTAATTTGGATGTGTGTGGTTATCTGGCCTGTTACTCATTGTGTTGTGGCGCCTGAGGAGACACTGTCTTCCAAAAGGAAAAAAAAAAGGCCTTTAGTTCCTCTGACTTCCAGTATTTTATTATTTTACAAAACAAGGTAAAAAAAGATGACATGGTATTAAGGAAGAGCTGGGCTGTAAAAAGCAGGCCAAAAGGGTGCAATTACTAGCTTTTTCAGTGGAATTAGGACATAGTCTGGTGTACCTGCGTGAAAGAAGTGGATTATCTAGCGATGGTGTGTTTGATCTTACTGTGGCATCCAGTAGAGCAAGACTTTTAAGAATTAACTTTGTTAGGTCAATCTTTGCTAAGTTAATAAATCGGTTAAGTAATAAGGGAACACCTAGCTATTTATTTTTCACTTATTTTTCCATGAGATGATAAATTCTGAATAATCACTGCTGTCTTTAACAATCAAAAGAGTTGGAAATTTTCTGAGCTTCCTGGCAGGTGATGCTACTTAAATTAACATTAAAAATTACACAAGAAAATACTTTTAATTTCATAATAGATGCATAATATAGAGCTGTGGAGTGTCTCCTGGCAAAGAACAAAACTCAAGCCATTTGAAAATCCTGACAGAAGCAGTACAGAACGTTCTCACTTGCTGCAAGCTTAGATCAAAAGGATCCTGAATTTTCACAGCAACAAAAAATATCCTATGCTATGTCCACTAGCACGGTATGAGAACAAGTGTTTTACTAAAATCAGTATAATTAACAGGCAGGCACTGGGAGTTTAACCCATGATGTAAGCTCATGTTTACTGCTGAAGTTGCCGCTGCCTGGTTAGTAAGTGAAAGACTTCTTGGAGTGGCCAGAGTAAAATGTTGCTCCAAAACCACGTGCAGTCTCTCTGGGGTTTGAGGAATGCTGGTTTCCTGGAGTACTGACATAGTATGGACTGACTTTAGGTTTAGAGTATAAACTTACAGACCTCAGTCTCCAAACAATCTCAGCTTTGGTTGGCGTCTATAAAAGTCAGGGTAAAGGGCCTACAACCATCAGAGTCCAATTTCTGAACTCTCCCCCATTTTAACTATAGCATCTTTTGTTCCCTACATTTGAAATATAAAGCTATTTTTGTCTGTTTTCCTGAGGAAGTGGGGTTTAAGTGATTAGTCTGCCAGTCTGTTTTTTAATTCCGCTGTGATTTTATTGCACAGGCCAGGTTCAGCCCAGCTTGAAAGGAATGTCCATCACCAGCTGACAGTTTGAATGTGGCACTTTCTTTTTAAGGGATAAGAGATTTTCACTGTATGGAAGCAAGCTGTGCTCTGCCAGTTGGCCTCAGAGCTCGATGATGGTGTCTAACTTTTTAAATTCACGAGTATAAAAATAATCACTGTGTCCTAAGACAGGGCAGGCAGTGCAGCTCAGATTTGTTGTGAACCAGAATAGTGGCAAAATTCTCTGTTTAGCAGGAGACCTGCTGGTGTAACTTGTCAAGAGGATGTGTGAGTCCTCATATTTGGATTGTTTGCCCATAACTCTTCTGAACAGTGGGGTGTATGTACTGGCCCAGCAACTCCTTCCCCACCAAGGAAGTTGTGGCTGTTTTGCACCTAGAAATTTTGTTGCTTCAGCAGACTAAGCATTAACTGGAGTGAACTACACCATGTAATTTTGAATCTAATTGTAGCCATCTTTAAATTTAATCTTAACTCAGAAAGAAATGTGTTTCTTATTGTTCTTTAGGTTAGGAAAATCCCCAGTAGAAACTGCAATATTTTTCCAAAACAAAGTGATAATTTTATGTCTGTCACCTTGGAGGCTCACTTCTGAACTTATGTCTGTGCCTGTGTGGTGCCAACTTTTTAAAGAGTTCAGATGATGGACACCAAGATAATTAGGGGGCTGAGAGTTTATGACTTAAAAGGAGAGGCTGGGAGAGCTAGTTTTGTTCAGTCTTTGGGGAATTCATTTACTTCTTGGAGGGTACAGAGGAAACAGAGCCAGAACAGGTGCACAGTGACAGGACAAGAGGCAACAGGTACACGTTGCAACAAGGGAAGTTCAGATTAGATATCGGGAAGAAAATTTTCTCTGTGAGGACAGGCAAACATAGGAACATGAATGCAGGGAGGCTGAGAAATCTCCATCCTTAAAGACATTGAGAGCTCAATGGGACCAAGGTTGTGGGAAGCCTCCAAGTTGGCCCTCCTTTGGGCAGATTTTTGGATCAGGTGACCTCTAGAGGTCTGTTCCAACCTGTTGTTCCGTGACACAGCATAGGGTGCGGCGATGTATAATAGGAGCCCAGAAGTGCTAATACTAGTTGAATGCTGGACAACTGAATATATTTGCCCTTTCTGCCATGAGGTTTTTGTGTGATGTCTTTTCAGTAGGTGGCATTTTCTAGATGCCTGAATTGAGGGATGTGCAAAAATGTTTCTCCGAACAGTATTTAGGGATTGTTCATTATTCGATAACATCTTGTATACTAAATACTTCAAAAAAGTCACTTTGTTTCCAAAGTTAGTGCCTAGTTTTAATCTTGATCTTTTTGTGATTCAGCTCCCCAATTGTCAGATGGGGAGACCATCATCGCTTTTCAGGGACAATGAGTGATGATTATCACAAAGTTCAAAAGAACATTAATTCTTCCTTCAGAGCATGGTCTGTGTCCTGATACCCATGTATTGCAATAGAAACAGAGAAGAAAGCAAAGCTTCAGTCCATTCTGTATGGAAGGACTTTCAGAAAAAAAACCCACAGGTGATCATCAATTAATTAGAACTACTAATATGGAAGGACTTTCAGAAAAAAACTGACAGGTGATCATCAATTAATTAGAACTACTATGCATGAAAAGACCGGCTTAAATTATAGCATGTCCTAACTTTCAGTTTTTTTACTGTAATGCTTTCACTGGATTCTTTTAATAGTTTTTTGTTTCTAAGTATAAATCAAATTTAAAAATTGGAACTATTTTTACAGCATTTCACACATCTTTTTGTTGTTTATGAAAGAACACAGCTGAAAGAGAGTCTCTGTTGTAGCAGATGATGCTGGTTAACACATGCTGCGCAGCTCAGTGCAGTGACTGTCTCTCAGACTGAGCTCAGTTCTGTTCTCATCACCAGCCATGGAGCTTTACTGCTGCCTGCTCTGCAGGCAATCTTTTATTGATGTCCAGGTGATGTAGTCCAGCTTAGCAATGATGTTCAGGTGGTGTAGTCCAGCCTAGAAAAGAACTTTGGGAGGCATACGCTTTATACAAAGACTTCTCTGAAATCAGTATCTTAGAATCTCTAAGAGGTGTTGGAAAAATAGTGAAAACAATAAACATTGGAAGTCCTTAAAATCTCTACTGTTCAGGAAATTATCTGCGTAAATTCATTCATACTTTGAGAGTCCTTGAATTTTTGAGTATGTCTAAGTATGCATGCTGTCCTGTCTAGGGTACTAAGTGTATTAAGGGAGCATAAACAGAGTCTGCATTAACAGAGGAGAAGCAGGAAGATAAATGCTAAATAAATCCAGGAGCAGGGGAAATAAAACCAAACACTTCAGCCATCAACCTTCAGGGGAGCAGGGGAAATAAAACCAAACACTTCAGCCATCAACACATGCCTAATTTTTAATAAACCTGCTGATGCTAAAAGGCTGTTCTAAAACAAAAATGGTAAAGTTGCATTAGGAGGCACTCTAAAGATCATGTGCTCTGGATTGAAGGTTGCTTGTCAAACCCTAATGCATATCAATCGTGCATATGCATTATAATAATCTTTTAATGGGAGAAATCTCTGTAAAGTGGGAAAATAGCCTTTGACTTCAGAGTAGTGGAAAATTAGATCTGCTTAAAACCATTTACTTTCCCTGACCTTAAAAGCCTGTAGAAACACATGAGAAAAGTGTATTTATTGTTCAGAGCACAATAAATGACAGGAAGATATGTGATTTTGGAAGCAATGCTTTTTGGAGATAATTGGAGATATTTATGAGCTGCAGAGTGTAAAAGTCTGACAGTAGTTTTGAATGCAACTGATTTTACAAACTTTTGAAAGTTGTTACAATTCTCTGACTTACAAGGTCTCCTTTGCTTTTGTCTTTTAATAGCTCTCTACAAACACATGTCAGCTGTAAATAAATCAGGTGGGAAATCATGATTCTATGTGAAGTTGTTAATTTGTGAAACAGAAGAATAGCCCACTGCTGGAGTCTCAGTCTGTCAAATGTCTCTAAAATATAAAGCAGGAATCAAAATCTTATTTGTTCTATTTTTTGCCTTTCAGGTCCAAACCATGAATTACGTTGGACAGTTAGCAGGGCAAGTGTTTGTAACTGTGAAGGAGCTCTATAAGGGAATAAACCCAGCCACATTGTCAGGATGTATAGACATAATTGTTGTACGTCAGCCAGATGGAAATCTTCAGTGTTCCCCTTTCCATGTACGCTTTGGGAAGATGGGAGTCCTACGTTCTAGGGAGAAAGTGGTAAGAAAATCAACAATTTTAATGTGTTCTGTCTGTGGGGTAACTGTAATGGTATGAAAGTTACTGAATGTTCTGTGGTATCCTAGTCAAGGTTTTCTTTAGATACTCTTTACAAAGTGCCCCAGTTGAGGCTAGATTCAATTAAAATGGTTGTTACTGATTATTGCATTTGAAAGCATACTTTTTAAGACATTGTTTACAATAAAACCAAAACAAACCATGAAATTTGTAACATTTATTTTCAGTAGAGCAAAATTTTGAATGTGCTGATTTGGGTTTATAATAGATGTCATTAGTGCCTGTGAATTAAGATCCCTTTGTTTAACGTGTTCATTGATCGTTAAAAAAAGAGAGTTAATCATGAAGTAGTATTTTCAGATAACAGAGTGTTGAGTTTAATTGAAGCTAGAAAAAGCAGTGAGGACCTTTAGATAAATGTAACCAAGCTGAATGACGTCGCAATATGGTATCAGATGTGAAGTTGCCAGTGAGTAATGCACCACAGATTGTGTTAGGAAATAATTTGTAACTACATATAGTCTAGGTTCTAATGTAGCTATAATTGTTCAGTAGAAAGATGCTAATATCACCATGGACATCATTCAATTGTTATGTGAATTAGAAAAGAATACCAAGATTTAGGATGGGTAGAAGTTGAAAATGTTACTGTGCCAATAAAATGTTACTGTGTCCTGAAATATAACATAAATATAAGCTTGTCCCAGTCTCCAAAAAAACCCCAAACCACCAGTGAAAATGGAGTTTGTGGCAAGGTTGGTTATAGGCAGAGAAAGATTCTCCTGAGAAGAAATGGAAATAGTCGGGTCTGCACAGCGGTGAGATGAACGTGTGGAAGACATGGACAATTTTTCTTATTTGTGCTTCTCATAGTGTAAAGAGAAGCCTGTCTAATGAATTTGAAAGACATTATATTAAAATTTGCATGTGGGAGTACTTCTTGCACAATACAAGATTAGGCTATAAATCAAAAGAGCAAAAAGATTTATGTGGTGAGTGAAGCATTCAGAATTACATTTAAAAAGATTCAGAACATTATATAAGAGCTATAAAACTTCCTGAGAAGAGGAGTGAGCCAGCAATAGGTTGAATGAGTTAGAAAAACATTCTGGCAACTGATGGCCTTATGAAGGGGGAGAGAAACAGAGAAGTTCATGATTTTATGTTTATTGTAAGGTTTCCTACACTTCCCTGAGAAGCATTTGCCCAGTGACAGGGAAGGGATAGCTGAACAGGAACTGTGTACCTAGAATAACTTTCTCTTCATTTGAGAATATATTTATTTTCTTCCAGGTTGACATAGAAATTAATGGAGAGGCCGTAGATTTGCACATGAAACTAGGAGACAATGGAGAGGCCTTTTTTGTGCAAGAGATGGATAATGATAAGGTAAGAGTCAAAACTAATTTTAATTTGTTAAAAATTCAATATCTACTCTTCAGAGTCAGTTCTGAGTTTAGGAATTTTGTTGAAAAACATACCTTTACCCATTTTATAGTTTTGAAAGTTTCTGGATAATTTTCTGCAATGGAAATTTAATACTATACAGTTGCTTCATTTTTTGAGTTGCTGAGAGTGAAAAAAATCTAAACAAGTAATCACATACCTAAAAATATTCAGAGTTTATGTACATACCTGTGTGTGAACAGAAATAACATGTATACGGCTCACATTCTCTGAAGATGTGTACAACAGAGGTTAATATATCCATGGAATTTTTTTTTTTTTGCAGAAATCTTTATGCAGTCAGCAGACTGCCAGTAAAAGTGCATGTGTCCTGTAAACATCTGTGCACACAATAATCTGGTATTAACCAAAGACGTGATCTTGCAACTATTCTTCGGGTGGAATTCTATTTAAATGAGAAGGCCTGCTCCTGAGCTGTGTGATTAAATACTAGTCTACATCAGTTATGGTCACACTGGTTTTGAATAGTCCACATGTAATGTGACATAAGAAAAGCTTTTTACAGGCACTTCTCTTCAGATAGCCCAAATAATTTTTGTCACAGTCCAGAGTGGAATGAGTTTTCAAATTCCTATTGAGTATGATACTACTAGTTTCAGGTGAGAGATTTGTGCATGTGCAGTATTCATCTCCATATTTAAATCTTCTGTGTGGTAACAGTTATTTGGTGACTGAAAATTGCTAGTAATACTTCCATGAATGTCTACAGATGTGTGTATATGATTGAATTAGTGATGTTTTTGTGACCTAGTTATAAACCACTGACCTATCTGACTACTATCTCTCACCTGAATGAATGACGCAGATTTTGGCAATTGTGCATATATTTTAGATCCAGATTTGTGATCAGCAGAGGAACTAATGTGTTGCATTGTTTGCATTTTTTCTTTCTCAGGAGGTAATTCCTTATCATCTCTCCACATCTCCTATTTTGTCTGAGGGAACTGCTTTAATGGAAGCTCAGCTGAAGAGGAACTCCATAGACAGGATAAGAAATCCGGACACCGGTGCATCCTCACAAGTACCACCCCAAGCCCATGGATCCCAGACTGCTATTGAAACATCTCCAGTCTGTAGCTCTGTGAAAAAAAGGAGGAAAAAGAGGAGAAAGTCTACCCATAAAATAGACAGCTTAAAAAGAGAAGACAATGGAGACACGTCAGAAGATGAAGATATGTTTCCTATAGAGATTAGCTCAGAGGAAGAAAAAGAACCATTGGACAATTCAAGGTATCACAGTGGAATTGAGGTCTATAATGGAAACCTAATGCTGGATTAATGTTCCATTCCATACCTTCTCACAATAATTTCTGTCTAAGTCAGTACATATGGTTGTCATGGTTTTGAACATCTCTAAGAAAAACCTTTAGACTAGAAAGCTATTGAAAATGTTACTAACAAAAATAATTGAAATGACATTGAAAACTTAAGAACAATCCTCCATCATGCTGTGAACTAGAAGGTGTGAATCAGATAACATTTCTTTATCTCCTTTAAGTTCAGGTTATATTAATTCTCCTCTGCAGTAGGGTTTGGGTTTTTTTTGTTACCTGAAGTATATGGCAGTTCAGTAATCAAGTATGGTTTTTAAATGTCATGTCTTTCCCTATGCCTAGGGTCCCTGTTCCGGATGTGTTTATCGATGACTTATCTGAAATAAAGGCTCCTGCAGTTTCTACATTTTCTCAGTCTGCATCTTACCCTCATTCAGATGGAGAATGGTCACCTCTTCAAAGGTACTTTTTCTGATAGTATAATTCTAAGTAATTTTGGTTTGATTTCTTACATGCTGGTGCTATATGAAGTCTTCCTAAAAATTCTGGTATCAAACATGGTCACTGTCAACTACTAGCTGAATGCTTTCCAAATTGCAATCAGGTGATCTCAATATACTGCCTCTGTAGTTAAGCATCAGAGGGGAGAGAAAGGGCTTAATTTAAATGTTTTGAATTGCATTCTGGAAGAAACTCTCTCCACTGACTATAAAGCTTAGTGGGATCAGCTTCACCAGTCTGGTGATAGCATGTGTCAAGCCCCTTCAATGGCTTTTTGAACTGTATGTTCTGTTTGTTTCCTGATTGCAGTATTCTGGATTTTGAAAACTGTAGACGTAAATTCAGCATTCATGTAGCTAATGCACAAAGAGCTTATGTTAATCAGCACTTGTGAATAATGACACCCTGTTTTTCTTTCTTTCTACCAACATGCTGTGCTTTCCAGTAAGCCTATAGATTGTGCAGGGCAGTCCTCTCTCCTCACTGTTCCAGCTGATGGAGGCCTATCTAGCTCTTGTCCTCAACAATCTTCTCACTTTTCTCCTCCAGACAGGTAGAACAGTTGTCCTCCCTCTTTTCTGGGCTGCTCTTTAATTCTTTTAACACACTAATACACCTTCAACACATTAATAGTATGTGAACTTTGTTGAACTTATAACTGCACTTATTGCTAACCCAGACACTTTGAAAGAAAGTGATGTTGGAAACCACTTCCTCTGCTTGCTTCTTTGTGGGCATTGTAAATTACTTTGATAAATCATCCATTAAATGGGAATGGCTAATATAAAATCAGGGCAATGAAGACCTGGGTTAAAACTGAAGTTGATCAAGATTATTAAAAAAAAGAAAAAGGAAGAATTACGTTACATTAAGATTACATTAAGTGCCATCATAGCTGTTAAGGAATACATAGGACTGTGACACAAATATTCAGCACCTACAGGATGCGAATCAGATATACTGATCTAAAGGACTGAAGTTTCCCTTTTTTCTTGTGCAGTACTGGCAGGATGGGTGGCTCTAGTTTGATCTGCAATATCTCAGCAATATGTGTAAGGCAAGAGAATTTCAGCTATGTTGGGCCAGTGCCTAAGGACAGGAGAATTGCAAGGCATATTCCAGCCCAAGACAAATGTCTTGGTGGTATAAGGAATAAGGAACCCATTTTGAGTCTGATCCATGGATGCATTTACAGGATACTGACACTGGGTTACAAATCTACGTAATCTTGATATTCAGCCTTATTGACCTCTAGTGGAAGTGTAACTTTAATTCAGGATTTCATTTGACCTAGCCACAATAAAAAAAAAATAAATTAAGGAATGTGATTGTGAGCTTTATTAGTCTTCAGTCTCATTTTACTTTGGTGGCAATAGTATGAAGTGAATAGCAGCCAAAATAGTCCCAGTGCCGGTAAAGGAGACGACATCTGGCATTACATATGGAATCAGAACTATACAAACAGGAAGTTTACAAACAGGACCATAGTAGGCATAATTGCCATCTGCGTCCATAAACTACAGAGATTATTGTTGCTGTTCCAGAAGGATATTTGTTGGAGAGTGTAGGTATTGGGTATTAAACAACAATATGTTTTATGAAGAAAAAAGTAAAGGTATTTCTCTATAACAGAAAATCAGCTCTCATCAGGAGGCCGCCAACCCTGTATTAATGTTTGTGTGTGGCACAGAAAATAGCAGTTTATGTTCCAGATGATATAAGGAATGAGAATGCTTTAGTACCCTCTTATACAAGCAAATTCATTTACTCCGTTTGCCTTCTGGATGCATGTTTGCAGTTTGATTTGGTCTTGGGCCTTTTGAATTAAGATGACATTGCAGTGGTAATTCTGGTGTGCCCTGAGGTTGTGTTAGCATTTGTACACTCATCTACAACGGGAAATAAACTGAAAAGAATTCTGAAGATCTAACATTTTATCCCTACTAAATCCTTATATTTTATTGTGTAAAAGAATTAGTATTTATAGAATGAGAATTAAGATGTCTCCATTGTGCTTGTCTCAAAAGTTCAGTAGATAGTGTATACTTTGTGTACTTTAATTTTAGGAGAGTGTGTAATATTTTGGGCGTCAGTTGCTAATCCTCTTCCTAATTTACCATGGTTCTACATGTAGCTCTATCTACTCTGAGCCAATAACCCAGACGCATGCATGGATCATTGGGTGGCTTTTTGCAGCAAGAACATTCTCAGAGCAGAACTTTGCTGGTTTTAACAGACACACATATGCAAGTGCCATATTTCTGGCACTTGTACGTGTGTGTCTGGGAATATACATCATGGTTCTTGGTGCTGAGTAACAGCCTGGGATTCTTCCCACTCAGTTGTGTGTACAAGGGAACTGTATTTTCAGGGAAACTCATGGGAAAGGCAAGGTTCTTCCCCCTTTGCCCTCAATCAATTTTCTCACTGAAAAAATGCCAAAACTGATGCAATGCCTGTATTCTCTGAGGTTGTCTGGCTGGGTAAGTGAACCTGGGCTGAACATACCCTAAAGCCCAGACTGCAGATATTTCTAAGTTAATAGTAGGTATTTTGAAGGTTAAAATGTATATAGGGCAAAGATTAACTTGTGCAGTGACAACACTTCCTTAAATCTAGATGTTTGGGGCTTAAAGCAGCAGTAGAAGCATTATTGCCTGCTGAGATTTTCTGAAGTGCCCAGGCTCCTGATTTCCAAGGTTTCAATGGGCCCCAGATGCATGGAAAATACTGCAAACCCTACAAACTTGTCAGTGGGAGATAGAGAAGATGCTGAAAAGTCTACCAGATGATTCTTGAATCCTTAGAGCTTGAAAATACTTTAAAAATCACATTATCTTGATTCCTTTGTCTGTCAAATGGTAGGTTACACCTTAGAGACTAATAAAAATTTGAAATTCTTAAGACTAAAAAAGATCTTCCACAGTGGTATTGCTTATAATTTTTATAGGTCAGTTAGATAATGTAATTATCTGTGGCTAAGAAGTCATAGTGTTTGCCCACATTCAAAGTGTATCTTACTGCAACATAGATGGAAACAGGGAATAGTGTAGATAATTAGGTTGCTATTTTTTCAGATGTGAAATTCACGGATGTTTAAATGCTGCTTTGTGTTAGTGTAAAGTAATTATTTTCCTGTGACCAATGAATTCCCTACCAGCCAGCTCTACAAAACTGCCTTACATTGAACAGAGCACTGGAATGGGCTGCCCAGAGAGGCTGTGGATTCTCCTTCTCTGGAGATAATCAAAACCTGCCTGGATGTGTGCCTGTGCAACCTGTTCTAGATGACCCTGCTTTGGCAAGGGGGTTGGACTAGATGATCTCCCAAGGTCCCTTCCAACCCCTACAGTTCTGTGACTCTGTGATTCTGTGAAAGAGCAAAACTGGTTTGGATATTCACTTTTATCCAGAAGGTAAAGAATAAATCAAACACGGAGAATTTATACTGTATGTAGGAAGCATTTTGGTTTTGAGAGTGAGGGTAACTCAGTTTGCACCTTTGATTCAGGAATGTCATGGATTCTTTTGTTGCTTGTAGTTTTTAAGTCAGGATTGCATGAGTGTACTAAAGACATACTGTGGCCGAGACAAAAAATAATGGGCTTTGCTCATGGGGTTCTGGGTGAAATTCTGTGACTTGTGGATGCAGAAAGGCAGAGTAGGTAATCTGAAATTTTCCTTTTGTCCTTGAAATTAGTGAATCATTACTTATTAATGTCTGACTTGACATCACATTATTGACTTCACCACATTAAAAATGTTCTACAAACTGATAATTTACTAATTAGTTATTAAATATTTTATATTTATTCGTCAGCAAAACAAACAGTTAAATATTTTTGAGCTGGAAGGGCTCAAATTCTTTGTGTAGCTTTTCTTCTGGTTTCCCTATAAACATACACTCAAGGGTAGATCTGAACAAGTTAGTAGAAGGAAGTAATCACCTGGATTCCTTACAGTAATTTATTACTTAGTCAGGGTAAAGTGTCTTGTTGATGCGAGTGAGTAATTTCTACACTTCACATCCATTGTAACAATACTAACTTCTATTCATCTACTGCTGCTAGTACCATCCCCATTCTTTTTTCTACATAGGAAAACAAAAATTCTCCTGGCATGTTCAGGTGCAATGGTCTTGTTCCTTCTCTTTCAGCTTCTCAAATCCTACTTCTGTGAAAGCACTTAACTGAAATATGGATGAGACCTCTGAATGCCAGTCTAAGAGGATCCTGAACTGTTTAAACTGTTTTTCCATACTTTTACAGTTTCAGTTGGCTAATGATTATTTAGATCTTCAATGCTTTGGGTTGGTGGATATCCGTTTGGAAAGTGCTTAGTGCATTGTGGTTACTTTTAGTTTTGTAATAGTTTTTGTTTGTTTTTCTTCAGCCTATCAGGTTCACGCCCACCTACTCCTCAAAGTGACTCAGAATTAGTCAGTAAACCTACGGACAGAAGTGGACTGAAGAATAATCCCCACATGCACTGGGCATGGGGAGAGCTACCCCAGGCTGCAAAGGTATCCAGCATAATTTATTTAATTCCTGCTAGCATCTATTGTGCTTTAATGGGGCACGTGTGCCTATTCTATTGCAGACTGCTGAAGAGGGAATGTATCCTGTTTTTACATAAAATTGCAACGTTTTATGTAAGAGAATTGCATAGAATCATAGAATGTCTTGGCTTGGAAGGGACATTTAAAGGCCATCTAGTCTAACCCCCCTGCAGTAGGCAGGAGCATCTTTCTCCTTAGGAGTTACAGGAGTCCCGTGGATGTTCTTAACACCAATGATATATAGAAGAAAATTAAGAAGTACCTGAGACCTAGTCTTGTAAATGTTAGAAGCTTAAATAACATATAAAATCAAACCCACTGTCCTTTGGTAAATCACTGAAATTCATAAATGGTCTTAGCTGGAAATCAGGTGCTTGGTGTTAGCAGTGTGATTCAAAAAAACTCAAATTGGTTGCTTGAGTACATAAGCGTCCAGGAACACCTGCAGGTCTGTATCTCTGCAGGCCCAGGCATGCTGTTCTCTTGGCTGAGCCAACTGGCTTGGTGCCTGTCTCCTGCCTGGAGCCGTTTGGCCCAGTTAGATGGCAGGATCTGGAGTCTGCCAGTAGCACTGTCTCCCATGCTGCACAGTAGCCACGAGCAGCTGAGTACACTGCAGGTCTGTCAGGTACTGCCTGGCTCCTTATGATGGCTATGGAGTCAGCATTACATAGGAAAGGAGAGACTCAGGGCTTGTGCCTGCCTCAGGATGTGAGAAATAAAGGTCAGGTTCCAGTGGCATATTGCAGCTACGGGAGCAGGGATGGTGCAGGGTTTGGCCCCTTCTGCTGAAGGCTGGCTTCCCTGCAGAAAGGACTGCAGGAGTGATGGGGTCAGGAGCAGTATAAAGAAACAAAATCCCAGCTTTGCAGGCCAGGGAAGTGGGTATCCTCCTCGGAGAAGACTTCTGTGTTCTGGTGGTGGCATCAGAATTATAATGGCACTATTATAATTCATGTTTAGTTCACTGTTAGTAGCTAGTGACAAAAGCAGGGCTAGGAATCCAGAATTCTTAATTCCTTTTGAAGAGTTCTGGCTTCTTGTTTAGTAGGCCAAAGATGAGATGTCCCATCACCTTTGCATTATTCTCCTCCTCATGTATATTAGAAGAAAATTGGGAGCTATGTTTTGTACAGAGAGAACTTATTTAATTGCACAGGTCCAGGCAGCAGTTTCAAATTGGCATTTCCAGTCTAGAATTTAGGATTTCCTGTTAGATTTAGGTGTTTAATTTTTATTCCAGTCATACAGACTGGTGTGTGTGGCAGATCTTATTCCTGGAGGCTTTTCCCTCTGCATACTTTGTCTGTGTCCTTGGCCAAGCTATTTAGAGTTGAACTGGCCATAACTGAACTGGGGGTTATGCTTTGGTTGCTGGGTGAGCCAACACAGGCAGGACTCAGGAACAACCACAAAACTATGGATGAAATGTAAAGAGTAAATTTATTTTTGCTACCTCGCCCACTGGGGGATTCCCCAAAGCAACACCTGGGCAGAGGCACCCAAGCAGGAGTGCAGGCACTGTGGAGCTCATGCTAGAGGACCTGTCTGGTCCCTGAGAGCATCCTGATAGTGTATGAACACCAGTCTGCGCTCCATTCTCACGTTTGTTGGGGTTCCCTTCTGAAGAAAAGCTAGGATTTGTGCAGGAAGGGAGGGTGACAGGGTGGGAGCTGTGATGTGCTCTCAGGCAGGTGAATGGGAGGTGAGGCCTGTAGAGCACATTGCAGAGCAGATCTTTCCTGGCCCCAAGATAGAGGTGAATTTTACGCAAGCAAGCGCAGAGCAGAGAGGTCTTTTGTACGCTGTAGTCTCCACCTCAGCTGTGGCTTTCTGCTGTAGTTCGTTACCTTGAGAATCTGATCTCGCTGCAGTGAACAGAACAGGTTAAACTCTGGCTGTTGCATTTTTAAAGAGCATTTCTTTATAACAATCTGTTTATTTTTCCTCACAGGCCAGCTCTCTGCTCAAAGCAAAGGAACCCAGCGTGGTGGATGTAAATCCTTCTGAAAGCACTCACTTTCGGGTCATCCAGAGTTCTCCTGTAGAGGAGTTTAATACTGTATGTCCTCTACCTGCCCTTGGACAAGCAGATGCAACAACTGCTGATGAAAATGAACCCTTACCAGCTGAGACAAATAAGCCAGAGACAGAGTCTCCAGAAGCAGCTGTACCACCGTTGCCTGCCAATGAAGAAATAAAACAAGCTGCAGCTTGCTCAGCTCAACCAGCTGGCAAGACAGATTCCCCTTCCAGAAAGAAAGGTAAAACTGTTGATTCTGCACTTTTATATGTATGATTTTGTCTTCAAATTTCATGGTGATAAAGCACCTCATTGTCATATAAATTAATCTGTGTCCTGAAGTGACTTTTAGATCTGAAAAAGAATAAGCTTTGGAAAGAACCTTCAAAATCTGAGCTGCGCAGCAGGCTGTTTGCAGGAGCCATGTAGTAAGATAAGAGATTCTCCTTATTCTGGGAATTTTGGCAGCTCTGTATGTATGAGCAAGACTGCAAAACTTGCTCCAAATTCATCGGTATTTGACAGATTCAGAGATTTCACTTTTTGGTACGAGCACACAATAGATCTGCTGGTTCATCTGCTCGGCCTGCTTTCTGAGTTATGTGTTGCTGGTAGCTGTGGAACCTATCTGCTCGAGTACAGCATTATAGTACGTCTCTTGCCCAAACAACAGATTAGCCATAAAATAAGGTGCTTCTGTTTCACATGAGCAATTTCAGTTCTGTGTGGTACATGTCCTGTCCTGAATTTGTGAAATATAATTCTGTCTGCTTTTCTGCTTCTTAGTTTCTGGGCTCTATATCCATGGTGTTTTTTAATGTGTTACAATCTTCAAATGAAACTTATTTGCTTACAAACGTTATGTTTTAGAGCTCTAGTTATTCTATAATTTTGTAGGACCTATATAAGCCTGGTTTGTGCAGCTGCTTTTTAACCAGTAAACATAGAAGTTTCCTAGCCACTTACCCATGTGTTCCACTCTCTTTGAAGAAAAAAAAAAGTGTGTTACTCTGCTTAATATTCAGTCTTTACATAACTTTTTTTTGTGATGCTTGGTGTTGGAATTTGGGACAGTGAGAAGTCGTGGGTTTTTGGATTGAATTCCAAATTAGGTTTTGACCCTACAGTGGTTGCTTGTCCAGATCCACCAGCAACAACAGGACAGTGATGACTTTGTGTGTTGGCACTAGTGAAAGACTTAGGAGGGTTGTCTTGTCCCCACAATGACACGTGTGCACACACAACACATCAGTTCTATGTGCTAAACAGTGAGTTGTCTCCATAACGAGCCCGTTATGAGTGTATGAGTGACTATAGTGTATAGTCTGTTGTGTTATTTCTCTTTTGCAAGGGGGTATTGAAGATTAGTTCTGGGAGGTTAAATGCTCTGATTGCCTTACTGTGATAATTGGCTGATGCAAATACTCAGAAAGTTTTCCTTTTGCTGTTTATCTGCAGTGACCGCTGACTTCTAATTCTCAGTGGTATTGTCTGGTATAAGGAGGCTTCATCATAGCTCAAAACTAATCCTCTGGTGTCCCATTTTGGGTACTTAAAGTCTGAACAATGTATGTGAGCAACTTATTTTGAAATTTTTGGCAGTACCATTTTATACAAACACAGTTCACAAACTTGTAACTTTTCTGGTTTCTCAATCTTAAAATGAATAGTTAAACAGTAATAGCAGTTCTGGCTTGTTACTCAGAAAATGCTCATTAATAGGCTTATTTGTGCCATCCCTTACAGACAAACGAAGCCGGCATCTTGGTGCTGATGGTGTCTATTTAGATGACCTCACTGATATGGATCCAGAAGTTGCTGCACTTTATTTCCCCAAGAAGTATAAGTCCTTTGCTTATATTTTTACTATTTAAATAGCTCTTGTCACCTTCCAGATTTAGATCAAACTCTTCATTGCTAACCAGATAAGACCTCTTTTTCAGAGCCCAAACAGAGGTGAAGGCAGAAAGAAAATAAAACAGAAGGGATATTAGAGCTTGTGGAAAGCTCTGTATTTGGGCTTGAGAAGTGTGCTTGAAACTGATTTTCTGTTTTGGTCAATTGAGCATCATATATTGATTGTGGATTGTTATGTAATGTACACTGATGTTTGTGAGTGTTACTCACATGCCCTGGGAGAGCAATTGGCCTTGGGATATATTTATCCCTGTGTCCTTGCTTATTACCGTGAAGAACATATCTTACTGTTAACAGTATTAGCATAAAATTATTGCTCTAATGTTGTTCTACTGTGGGTGATCACCTGTAAATATGAGTGTTAGAAAATAATTTTTGGAATATGCATGACAGATTTATTTATGAAAATATTGCACCCTGAACATACAATTTCCAACTAGTTCCAATTTTTATTAGAGCCTCTTGTAACATTTAAAGTCCTCTTTTCACATCATAGTTGTCATTTGACTAAAGTCCTTGAGCAACAACTAAAGTAGCTTGCATATTTTATTTTTCTTTCTTGCTTGCTTAAACTCAGCTGTTGTAACATTAGTATTTCAATAAAACTGAGAAAGATTAGTAATATGGAGAAAAAAGCTGGATTGAAAAATCCTTTCTCAAATGCATTCATATAAATCTGGAACGGAAAGCAGAGTTTGAGCCTGCACTTTGTAATAATGAGCTCCTATACCCAGTTGAAATCTATGTAGAGATATTATTTATTGTTTCTTAAAATTTTAGTCCTAGTAGTTTTAATGTATTTTATTTATATATACAATATGTACATGACATATAAATACACAAACATATACATCTTTTGTTTTGAGCTTAGCTATCAGTTTATATGATTAATGTAAATGAAGTAATAAACTTACATGTGTAATCCTGCTCCTGTGTGGGAATAATTCTCCTAGTATAAACTGTTTATAGTGGCATTATTATGTCTAGTAAGGTTGTACAGTTTATTGTCTTATTTTTCTTATCTCTTGTAAATAAGTGAAGCTATAATTATGCATGCCTAGTTTAGGCAAGTAGCAGATTATGTATTTATTACAGAATTACATTATTACAGAAATGTAAATAATTATGCATGCCTAGTTTAGGCAAGTAGGTAGAAGCAACCTAATATGTGAGGATATGTGAATCCTATACTACTTTGTTTAAATTTTATGGTAAAACCAGGCAATTTTGGTTTGTATGTATCAGATGTAAATGATGCTTGTTGAAGGGAGAGAATTTGGGACTGAATACATGAAAACTGAATTCCTGATTTTTCTTTTCCAGTGGGGATAATGCCCAAAGCAAGAACACAACCGACACAGCGCCGCGCTCTGCCAGCCAGTCCCCGCAGTCTGTCGGGAGCTCAGGTGTTGACAGTGGAGTTGAAAGCACCTCGGATGGAATTCGAGATTTGCCCTCCATTGCCATTTCTCTCTGCGGAGGCCTTACTGACAACAAAGAAATAACCAAAGGTACAGAATGACCTTCTGAATTACCGCATGTGCAGTCAGCCAGGTTTCAGCATCCTAGACAGAGGAAGCAGTGCCCTCCTGTGGCTGTACTCAAGAACGTGTTGAGAAGATAAATACTGTTCCCAAAATGATGTTTCCTAGACAGTTTAAAGTTTTTGAAGTTTTTAACATAAAGTTTTCATACTTAAAATAGGAGACACATAGGGCGTATGATTTTTAACACACTTCAATAGTTCACTATATACTATTTTTTTTGAAAATATTTTATTGGTATTTTTATTTCCTGATACTACTACATTTCATATCACAATAGCGTTAATGGTACTTTAGCCACTTGGTACAGTATATAGCTAGGAAATTCCCAGTCGTTAGTATCAGGAATGAAAAAGGTGGTCTGTAAATGGGAACTCTAGGAGGAGGAGTCCGGAACCTCTAACCTGAGTTCCTGCTCTACCTCCAGTTTCTTTTGTGACTCTTAGATAAATCATTTACAGTGCTCTGTGCTTTAAACTTCCAGATGCACAACATGAAGATAAATGGATTAAGACTTGCAATTTGTTCAGTTTTGAAAATCATATGAGCCTGATGCTACACTATTCAGATTGCTGTTCGGAAGCTAGTTATAAAAAATACAACTCCAATAAATCACAGTATATATGAAATGTTTTAATCAGAATCACTTGTGAATTACATAGATTTTTGTGAAAGGAGTCACAACCAGTGGAAAGGGTTTTTATGAATAAACGTTTTCATTTTGCTGACAGCCTTACAAGTGATAATTAAGTTTCTGGCTGTGCATTTACACATATGTTGAGCCCATCAGTTCCTGCTCCTAACTTGGACAGAGGATCAGTGAAGGGCATGACAAAGTACTTCCTTGCCTTGCTTGGAAGTACTGCATGCTTTACCTATGTAATTTTTTTTCCTCCACAGAAGAATTCTTAGAACATGCAGTAACATATCAGCAATTTGTGGACAATCCTGCTATCATTGATGACCCTAACCTCGTGGTTAAGATTGGAAATAAGTAAGTATATTTCAGAAAAAAACAACATTTTACTGTAGTAACAAAACACTTCTGTGGCACTTCAGTGCATTAGATCAGTTTCACCATAGCTGGAAAAGAGATTTTGAATGTTCATAGCTTAGATTAATCCAGAAAGAATCATACAATCATCTAGATTGGAAAAGACCCTCAGGATCATCAAGTCCAACCACCTACCCTACTCTACGAAGTTCTCCCCTACACCATATCCCCCAATACCACATCTAAACGACTCTGTATTGAATTCAGGCTCTTCTAGTTACCTTTCCTCCTTTAAATGGAGAGTGAAGAGCAGTTTCAGATGACCTGTTACAGCTAACTGACACAATTTGAATTTCAACAAGCTCGTATTAAATGCTAATAGTGTTCACACTCAATTGGCAGGCTAAAAATGAAATAGGACATGCACTTGCTAAGGCTTGCCCTGAGCCAGTTTGAATAATTAATATTTACGGGGATCTGGCAGTCTGCTTGCAAGCACTCTGTACCCAGCAGTTTGTCTGTATATACTGAATATTTTGCTAATATGCCTCTGCGGAGGCACTGCTTTTTAAGGCTTGTCAAACTTCACCTACTGAGTATGAGACTTACATTTCTGCAAGGCTAAGACACTATTTCATATGTTTATACTGCTGGCAGAAGCACAGCACTATGGTCTGTGCCAGATGCAGCGTTTTTGAGGGTGTTTTAACTTGAGAGCTCCTTGCACCAGGCATACAATGTTATGGAGGAGGAAAAGAGGTATCACAGCGTTGTGCTGCCCTTAGAGGTTAGGAAACCCTTAGTTATAGGCATCACTTGTACAAATCTGATATGCCTGGTGCATCCTTATGTGATAGTTTGTATTGTGTGTGTTACAACCTCATACTTGACCCTCTCTGTAGTCTGAGGTGAGTCACTTGCTGCTTTCCTGCCATAGTTCTCTCAATTTGATGGTAATGTTTACCTGCCTACTGATATGTTGGGAAAAAGAAAGGAGTACTTGGTGAGGCTCTTACTGTCATATTCTCTGGATGTCATGTGAGCTTCAGCTTCCCTAGGCAGATGGAAGATAATTCTGTATTTGTCTTAACTGTCTGTAACAAGAGTTGACCCGTGTTCGGCCTGTAATAGCAAAAGCTTGACAGGCTACAGCCCCCAATTTTTATGTAGTTCCTTAATAGAAAAACAGTGAAAACAGCTTGTAAAAAATGTAGCTTGTGCTGTGATAATGAGGTATAGTACAGACATGAGGAATGTCTGACAAATACCATTTCTACTTAAGGACCTGACTTGCATACATTCAAAAGTATATACCATAAGCACCTGTGAACATACTGTGGAATAAGGTGGGTTTGCTGTTACTGGTGCAAGCCAGAACTTGGCTTGTGCTAAAGCAAATTCCTGGCTTTAACCTGCTGGATGATAAATACTAGATAGATTGTGAATTGGAACCTTGGGGTTACAAAATGCAGTAATTGTGTCTCTTGCACGCCCAGGTACTACAACTGGACAACAGCTGGTCCCCTTCTGCTAGCAATGCAGGCATTCCAGAAACCTCTGCCAAAGGTGAGATTGAACATGCAGGTTGGTCAAAGGAAGAGTTGTGACATTCTGCCACTTATTGAGGCTTATGCTAAGGGCTAAATAAGCAGGACTAAATTTGGTCTGTGAATCATGTTTATTTGCTAGGCTAAGATCATTAAAAATACTTTGAAGGAGGAAAACTTCCTGTTTTCCTTCATTAATATGGATTGTAAACATAAATTATATTGACCCATGTTAGTATTCACTTTAGCTGAATACTTGATGACTGCTTTCTGTTTTATCTGTATGCAGTGTATCCTATCAAATAAAAATAGAGGCCACGAATTTTAACCTCAGGGAGTAAGCTTTAAGTGCTAGATAAGGAAGGCCTGTAGCTTTCTAGTTTTCTCTTTCTCAGTTGGTTGATCATAACCAACTCAGGTAGGTGGTGCCAGATAGGTACAACTATGTTGCAACAGTCTGTATGATTGAGAAGGTTTACTTGGCTGAACTGTACCTCTGAAATTAAAATTACTCATTTATGTTACTAGTCATCTTACTGGTTTTCTTAATGACTTGTTAATTAGGAGCTTTGATTTGCTGTAATAAAGGAACTAAGGAATTGAAATGCTAAGATACTTTATCAAAAAAGGCTTTATGAACTGATTGAAAAGTGGAGTTTTTGCAAACAAATCACTCATGTTTTGCAAAATACAATTAAACACATCTAACGGTAAGCATGTGAATTATCTCACTAAAAATCAATAGGACATCTGCTTGAAGTTGTCCATATGCTTGAAAACTCCCTAAATTGTAGCTATTGTTCTCAACAGTTGCATTTCATTCTCAGTAACTCCATCTGCTCCTTGTTTTTCTTATTTTTCTTTAAAAAGTTCTCCACTTATTTGCTCAACTTTATTCCTTTGTGATTCCTTTCTTTTCTTATATACTCTAGATAATACAGTGAAGGGAACCTATGGACACACTGAAAAAAAGGGATGCATTGTCCCATACATTAGCTGAACTCAACCCTCTGTCTTAACTTCTAGGAGTTCTTGGAATCGTTTTTCTCTTGCTTTTTTTTTTTTCCTAAATCATTAATCAATGTCACTGTTTTATTTGGTGACTTTGCTTACAGTGGAGGCTGTCATCTCAGAAGGGCAGTGGCCAAGCTATCCAAGGGCATACCAAGGGCCACCTTTACTGTAATATTTTCCCCCTTTTATCTTTTGTGTGCTCTCTGAGTGAAAGAATTCAGCTCTCCTTGTTACAGTGCATAAAGCTCCTGTCATTATGAGCATTGAAAGAAACTTTTCTCTACTGAGGTCTAGTACATGTAACTAATGACAAGTTGCTAGGGTTTAAAAAAAACCAGTTGTAACATTTCAGTCAAATTCATAGCATCATACTAAGCTCATAAAATCTTGTAACTTCTTTGCTTTTTTCCAAAGTGATGATTAAGTATGAATGTTGTAGTTATTTTAAAATGAGAATAGATATCTTGCATGTGGGTTTGTTACTGTTTTGCATGAGAGCTCTTTTGGAAGGGATATTTTTCTTTTTTTCTTTTTGAATATGATTTGTACTAAATAACTTCAACTTAAATACAGTAGGTTCTCCATTCTAGACATTATACTAACACCTGTTTATGCTTTTCTTTTCTTCTTTGATTTTATCTCTTTTTCATTTTCCTTTTAAAAATACCATAAGTATTCATGCTTAAGTTACTTCAGAGCAGCTCTGGATACCATTAGATTTTGCTTTAATAGAATTTATGGTCCACAGACAGTATGTTTACTTTTATTCTACTTATTATCAGTTAAAATTGTGTGTTTGGCACTTTCTTTCATTTACATATATCAGGTTGTCCTTTGTTTTGGTTTTTTTTTATGTTACCATCCATTTATCACAGGCTACTGTGGAATCTATAATGAGGGACAAGATGCCCAAAAAAGGTGGAAGGTGGTGGTTTTCATGGCGAGGGAGGAACAGCACTATTAAAGAGGTAAGTTTAAGTAGCAAGCACGGTTTCCTTCCGATTGCAGTGGGAAGGCTGGATACCTCCATGTTTATCTCTCAGAACTTTGCTTCTGAAAGTAACTCAATATTCAGTTTGACTGAGGATATACACATTAAGATGTTTAAACGGGGTCTAAAGTCTGATTTCTTCTGGATCAGACTCTACCTGAAATAATTGCCTGCAGTGTTTTGGTTCGGCATTTATTTTCAGTACACAAACCTGACACAGTATCATCTAATGGATTAAATCTGTTTTTAGGAACTTAAAATCAGAGCTGTGCCACTAATTTAATATTTTCTTGTAGATTATCTGCCTTTGTGCAGTTTCCTTTTGATAGTTGAAGAAAAGATATATTTTTGAGTAGTGTGAGCTGTAAAATTCAGCAAAACCTAAGATGGAAAACTGACTGTATATTAGTTTTAAAATCTTTTTGAATTTCATTTCTGAGCATTAAAAGTTTGTGGTAATGGTCTTAAAACCATGGATGAACATTAAAGAACAGTGAAAAAAGCAAAACTTTATATGAAATATTGATCTCCTGTCTAGACATATTTAATCTTTAAAGTTGCCTAATAAAATCTCTTCATATTAATTTATACTATTGAAGCATTAGTACTTTGAGGGAGAAAATGACTTCTAATACATTTTTATGCTTGTGCCTCAGTCAATGAACTGTTTTAGCCTTGCACATGAAATAACCATTATACTGATCTGTGGGTATGAGCTTTGGAGAGCTGGATTTTAGTTTTTACAGTTAGTTGAAGTTTTTAGAATTTCTCTCTGAGTGGAACTATTGGTTGTCTCTTGAGCTGTGGGAGCTCTACATGGATAAGGGGAGCTGTTAGTGTTTGTCTCAAAATCATTCGCTATTTAAAAATCTTGTTGGATGGAATTGATAGAGCTTAGCATCTACTTAAGGTAAAAGTACTTTGGAAAATGTTATTGGATTAAGGATTTTAATGATTCTGTGAAAGGTAGTTGTAGGGTTTTTTTTCCTTTTCGCCAGTCTTTGCTATTTCAACTGAAATCTAGTTGTTTGAGGTGCATGAACTGAGTAGTTACAGGATTCATCCCAGAACTTCAGCAATGCTAGATGTGAAATCTGATATTTCTGTACTTCTTCCGTTTTAATTCTTGTTCTGAGTTTTTTATATTTACAATTTTTAGTTCTTTGTGCAGCCTTTATTCTTTAAGAAAACCATAACGTTTTCTTTTGCTTTGCCTAGGAAGGAAAGGAAAGGAAAGCAAAGGAAGCAGACATGCTGTTGATTTTTACCAAGTCTGTACAAGACAGAATTTGGTTTTCAAATATTTTTCTAAAAATAGTTCCTTTCTGTCCAACAGGAGATACACAGCTTCTCATGCTTGTATTTTTACAGGAAGCAAAGCCAGAGCAAGGGAGTGGACTTACAGGAGAAGACTCTTCACAGATGAGCATGGCAAACAGGTATGTCCAAACTTATCTGTACCTGAAATGAGCAGGAGTTACCATTTAAAAATGAAAGGGAGCTACCTCTTATAATTCAGTAAAGAAGTCCTGCATCGGTGAAATCTGTTTAATTTGTTATTCATTGCAGCAAATAAGTACAGATAGGAAGGCTCTAGCCGTGGCAGTGTTGCAGACCTTGCGAGTGTGCCCTGACTATTCTGTGGTTTGGCTGGCAGCTCCGTGACACACATTCCAGACCCTTGAAAACAATAATTGGAGCAGTTCTCTGAAGCTATATGTATCTCTCAAGAGTTTTCAAGGGAGCAATATAGACGATGCCATGCTGGTTTTAGATCCCAGTTGCTAAAATTTCTGATTTACTTATATTTATGACCTGACATCTTAATTTGTTCCTGCATATTTTGGGAAGTCCAGGGGCCTAAGACTTTCCAGAGGATTTTTTCACATGCAATAGTCACAGTTTTCTATTACTTCTTTTAAGGATTGCAGAAGTCCCTTTCTTCTCGTGCTCCAAACTAATTGTACTATGTGGCCAGAATCTCTCCCTCAGCAGGGTTCCATAAAATGAGATTTAACTTGCTTTGGAGGCTTTAGAGGGATGAGTTAGCGAGGGACAGCTTTCCTACCTTGCCCCTTTTCTGTACCTACAGATTTTACTGTAAAGACAGCCTGTCTGTATGCTCTCTGCACTTAGAGCCCAAAAGGGCCAGATTGAAATATGCTTTTTCAGGGATCATCTTTATGAAACAAAAAGTCACTAGCTGTCATTCTTTCTTGAGGTCAGCAGTTGCAGTCCAGGTGAATGTGCTGGAAGGAGGATTCCTCGTTCTGTAGGAGAACTAGCTGTTATCTCAGTTGCCTTTCTGAGTTTGTGAGAGCCACAGAATAAATCGGAAAGGCTGATTTTCCTTTTAAGGATGACAAGTGATGTTTAGGTCTGTTTTTTACATGGTTGTTTAAAGATAAAATTTAAAGTGGGATTAAGACTTCAAGCAGACTAGATTCTGTAATTGGTGTTCTTAGTTTAAATATTAACTGACCTTAGAAATCTGTCATTAAGAATTTATTGCTTGCAAAGAAAATGCAACAAGTGGGATCTTGAGTAAAGCTTTTGTGATCTGATGTTAAACAGGATAAGATAAGTTTTTAAATGTTGGTAGTCATGACATATGGTACCTTGATATTGGGTCAAGACTTCCTAACATCAAACAATATCCAGGTGTGATCTGAAGAAGAGGCAAAATGTTGGTTGTTTTAAAGACGATTTGTAGGATCTGAAAGGGTATTTTACCTTCCACCTAAGGTGATAGATTTCTTTACTGTAGGAAAACTTTTTCTCTGAAGAAAAATATCCTTTAAAAATTTCTGAAAAAACAGTTGTAACAGGAGAAAAAACACATTATACTGATGTGTATGTAAACAGAATTGTGCAAAGGAGCACATGTTGTATAACTTATCATCATATTGTGAATGGGTTAATCCTGCAAATCCTGGAAGGGAATAATCCAGTGATCTAAAATTGCTCATTGAAAGAGAAGGAGGAGTTATTTTCTATAATAAGATTTCCATGACATGGATTTTTATTTTTATTTTTTTTTTTTTATTAATTGTTCATTCTTCAGGGGAAGAGAGCAGGGGGTAGAGAAAACCAGCATAATAAACGCCTCTTCTGGGAACTGAGGAATTTTTTTAGCTACAGTATCTAATGGGTGTTATTTTTTTACCAGTATGAGATTTTTGAGTCAATATAGCACATTAATTGACATCCGTTCAATTTAAGTAATGAAAACTAGCTTATAGACACGTGAATGACTAGAATAATCCAAGTATGAATAGCAGGGAACATACGTGAATGAAAATTCTGCACTTCATTGATGTATTTAAAGCCATGATGTGAATGCCCTCCTGCGAGACAGTACTTAGGAGCAGAGAATCAATGACTTATTTGGTGACTCACAGTTAATGCATTTTTAATGGATACTGAGATGCATTTACTGACATGATAACATCATTTTCTGTGTGTGCAATGTTCCAGAATAAAAGATGAATCTTCTTCAAGCGATGAAGACCCTAGAGCTGCCAAACAAAACCTCGGGTCATTACAAACCAACTCAAGTCATCTCTCATTATTGTCTGGAATCAGTTACAAAAAAACACTTCGACTCACTTCTGACCAGCTTGTGAGTTAAATTTACTTCTTTGTTCTGAAATGTCATTTCTGTAATGCAACATGAACAATACTGTTAGTCAGGCTTGCAAAGCTTAATTAGCTCTTACATCTTGCATTTAATTCTTTCTCATGTTATATTTAAAAAAAAAATATATTTTCCCTTCTCTTTTCAGTATTAAGCATGAATGTTGTACCTTGCAGCAAGTGCTGGGGTTCAGAGGTTGGGAGACATGGGATCCCATTTAGAAAAATATCAAAATTAAATTCCAAAGTCACCTGAATAAGTGTACTGAAACCACATCCTTTATAATGTGCATGTTAACCCCCAGGTCTCAGGTCCCTTTTTTTTTTTTTTTTTTTTTTTTCCTCCTCTCCTTTCCTTTCCCCTTACTCATAGGCACGTGGTCACATTTTACATCAATACGATTTTCTGTTAGTAACTTGTTAATTCACAAGCAGCTCTTTCACTATGGGGCCAGGCTATTAATTTCTTTGGAGCCAATTCTCTTCCTCTGTGACAGAGGTGTTTTGACTAATAGTGACAAAACTGTTAGAGTTTTGTGTTCTACACATTCCAATTTGATTTGGAAAAATGGGCTACTTTAGGGAGATATTTTTGTTGTCTTATCTACAGCCAATTAATTTTCTGAAGGAAACCTATACAAGGTGTATGGCATTAAACAGCCCCTCACTCACTGCCTGAATATTATGTAAAAAATAGAGAGTTTTTTCCCAAGAGACATACAGGATGTGTTGGTAATTTTCTATAGCAAACAGAAAGCAAGGGTTACACAAACACGCTGATACTTTTCAGATTCAGAAACCTTGCAGAAATTAGCTGAAGCTAAAACTACTTTTAGATGGGTTTCTTGATGAAACAGTGGGTGAGACTCATCAGTTACCCATTCTTACCTCCTTTTCACTTTTTAACTCACTGAACAATTGCAGTGAAATATAACTAAGAAAAAAAAAACCTGCAGTTTTTGTGAAAATGAATGGTTAGGTCCGTAAGTAGAACTGAATCACAGAATACCAGGTTGGAGGTGCCTCAGGGATCATCTGCTCCAACCTTCCTTGACAAAAGTATGGTCTAGAAAGATGGCCCAGCACCCTGTCCAGCTGAATCTTAAAAGTGTCCAGAATTGAGGAATCCACCACTTCCCTGGGGAGGTTATTCCAATGGCTGATTGTTCTCATTGTGAAAAATTTTCCTCCTGCGTCCAGTTGGAATCTCCTCAGGAGTAACTTGTAACCATTACTCCTAGTCTTTTCCATATGACTCCTTGTAAAAAGGGAGTCCCCATTTTCTTTGTAGCCACCCTTTAAATACTGGAACACGGTGATAAGATCTCTCCTAAGCCTTCTTTTCTCAAGGCTGAACAAACCTAGTTCTCTCAGCCTTTCCTCATACGGCAGGCTTCCTGGTCCTTTGATCCCAGTTGTCACAGGTTGCCAGTTTGAAAAGCAGCTATTTACCACCCCTCTCTGGGTGCAGCCTGTCAGCCAGATCCCCACCTGCCTCACAGACCACTTGTCTAGACTGTAATGTATCAGTTTCTCTGGGAGGAGGCTGTGGGGAACCATGTCAAAAGCCTTGGAGAAATCCAGGTAGACAATGTCAACCACTTGTCCCTCATCAACCAAGCAGGTTACTTTATTGTAGAATGCAATCAGATTTGTCAAGCACGATTTACCCTTGGTGAATCTGTGCTGGCTTTTCCCAATCATGTGCTCCATTTGACTTGTGATAGCCCCTCAGGAGGATTCGTTCCAGAACTTTCCCAGGCACTTAAGTAAGACTGATGTGCCTATAATTTACTGGATCCTCCTTTAAGCCCTTCTTGTAGATGGGGGTGACATTAGCCTTCTTCCAGTCTTCTGTGACATCCCCCAATCTCCCCAACTTCCCAAACATTATAGAGAGTGGCACTGCAATGACACCATCCAGTTCTCTTAAAACCATCAGTTGGATACTGTTAGGGCACAACTCTTTCTACACTGATGGTGGGTCTGTGTTTGGGTCAATGTGGATTGTTGTTCCCAAGGCTTGGTGCCCAATTGTGCTGGTAAAGACAGTAGTCTCTTCCCTAGTGTGTTGCTAAGTGACGCAGGAGACATGGGGAGGGAAGGGCAGGGAAGTGGGAGAGTTGAGGAAACTTGGTGGAGACTGAAGGGTAATAGGTCATATGGTAGAAGAGGTGGGTTATTATAGGAATGAGATGTAATACCATAGAACACAAATCCCTATATAAACACTCTTAATTAGAGTTCATGGACCTCCTTGTCACCTATGTTTCTCTGTGTGTGTATATCTATATCTCAGAAAGGAAAATCTCCATAGATAGTCTCTATTCCATAATTTGTTATTGTTTATGTGACCTTTTCAGGATTTTTTTTTCATATCCTTGACTGTGAAACAGAATTTTTTTTGTTGGTTTTGTTGAGCTCCATAAATCAATGCCTAATGTACGCCACAGAGGGCAAACCTCTGCTATCATTATTTAGACAATAGCTCTGCTGAAAGCAATAAGATTCAGTGTGACCAAGGCAATGATCATCTGTGGCTTTGTGTTTGCACTGTGTCTGTTTCATATGCTCAGTTTGTTGATTATCTTGCTGATAATGTCTTGCAGAAAAGCTTAAAGCTCAAGAATGGCCCCAATGATGTGACCTTTAGTGTTACAACACAGTATCAAGGCACTTGCCGCTGCGAAGGCACCATTTACCTATGGAATTGGGATGATAAAGTTGTTATTTCTGACATTGACGGAACAATCACACGGTGAGTTCATCAACAGGGAGAGGCTTTTTCTGCAAGGACAAGTTGACCTTGGGACTGAAGGAAAAAGTAATTAATGGGGAATTTTGAGTCACAGAATTATCATATTCTAGTGGTTTGGGGTTTTCTTTTTTTGGGACGGGGGGGGAGAGAGGAGGTTGGGTTTTTTATTTGGCTTTCAAACAATGCAAAATCATTATCAAATTACAAATGCAGCTAAAGACACATGCTATGTGTGCCCATTATTTGTCACCTATTGGTATTTTGTGATAGTACTTTAGTATTGGAGGATCTGCTACAAAATCATAACCTTTTTGCTGCATCACACTTCTGAAGTACACTGGCTACATTAAAAAGAAGAAAAGCATGAGTTCTGTTTTAAAAGGCATTACTGGGGCATTCCATTGAGGGGGATTATTATTTAGAAGACAAGACTCTGAAATCAATGTCAGAATTAGAATTTGATGGAAAGTTTCAGATTAGTACTTTGAGTAAAACCCACAATTTTGGGGTGACCAAAATGATTCACTCGCTGATTTTCATTTAACTCTGGGGAATGCAATTGTGTGTGGAACAGGGAAACACATAATAAAAATAAGGCATTTTCTTTTGACCTTTTAAAATGAAATGCTTAGATGTATTTCAAAATCAATTTATTTCAAAATCAAATGTGGCTAATTAGAAAAAAGAACAAAGGGAAAATAATTTCCAAGAGCAATCTAGGGTGAATTAAAATATTTAACTTAAACTGAAACTCTTTTCTTCTTTGTGATTTATCCATTGTAGGGCATTTTTTTTTTTTTATGCCAACATAAATGAATATTTCCCCTCCTTTTGTTTTCTTAAGCTTCTGTAAAGTGAATGGCTTCTGCTCCTCTCTACTGTTGAGCTGACCACAGTTATTGAATCATTTGACCCGATAATACCATTGCAAATCCATCCTAAGCCACTGCCCAGTGTTTTCTGTCTAAGATGCAAGATATTCAGGGTGTGGATGACTTGCTGTGTATCTGTATAATGCTTAGTCAAGTGAGGTGCTCATTTGTTTGAATTTCTAGATGTTACTAGAGTGTAAACAATTTCCTCTCACGTAAAGCAGGAAATACAAAGAAACCAATATAGCTATTTCATAATAGTTTATATGTGACCATCTGTTGGCTTTATGTGGAGAATTTAGTTTGAAGTAAACTAGAATTTCACTTCCAATGCTTGTAATTTCCCATAAATTTCACTTATGTGTAGATTTGCTTTATTTAGAAAACATTTAATGTAAACCTGAAAAAGTACACTTAGTACTGGTAGGCTTACTGCTCAGATCTGATTGATAGCCTGTATGCTGTAACTTATGTGTTACCTTATGGTTTACGAGCTTATCCATGAAGACCTGGAGTACAAGAGTAATTAAAACAACATGGTCAAGGGTGGGCATGTCAGCCTATCTCAAAAGAAAGGGGAATAAAATCATCCTTTTCTGATCACAGTCAGCACCCTACAGAAAACTTTATTTTCCTTTGCTGCTAGACAAATAAATTAGTAGGGTTTGTATTAACCTCATCTGTTATTTTAAGTATTGGGTTTTTTTTCAGTTCATTTATATTTTTCTTTTCCTTTATTCAGGTCAGATACTTTAGGTCATATTTTGCCGACTCTTGGCAAAGACTGGACACACCAAGGGATTGCAAAGTTGTACCATAAAGTGAGCCAGTAAGTATTCAGTAAATCTGTTCATGCATCTGTGGCTTGTGTTTATTTGTTTGCACATAAAAATTACATTTTCTCTAGGCTTCTCTTAACCTATAAGGGTAACAATTTTATCAATATCTCATCACTTCAGTGGTGATTACACAGTGTAAACATCTGCTATGTGGTATCCAGAGCAAAACCTGCTTTGTGATATCAAAACAAAAGCCCGCTACCAACAAGTAGTGATTGCTCTGCCAACCATCCCAGATAGCTACAGTTAGTTTCAAAAACTAGTAATTTGAATGAGTTGTGCAGTTGCAGCAAGTGGAACCTTTTTGCAAACTGAGAGTTGCAGCAGCACTAATTCTGCTTCTAGATGAGCACGCATGGCCAGTGCAAGAGTACAGGTGTACTGTTTGTTCCCTGGATATGTGGTGCAATGTAGTCAAGCCACTGAAAGACTCAAAGACTGAGAGTGTGGTGAGTTTTGTGATTAGAAATTGAGAGAAAAAAGGAAACGAGGAGAAAAATTAATTTATATCTGAATGGAATCAGATGAAGTATCCGATATATTCTGATGTTATACTTTCAGATTTTAACTTTTACTGGGAGGATTACCGATTGCTGTCTGTTCAGGCTGATATTTCTGCTTCACGCAGAAAATAAAATTGGTTTTCTTTTATTACATTAAATTCAGCTGCTCTTATATATTGAAATTACTGTAAATGCTTGAAGAGCCTGTGGTACACATCACAACTGTCCTCTTAGTTAATCTGATTTTTTTCTGTGTACTAGGGTAATGCTAAGGTTCGTTTATTGCTTTTTGTTTTATACGGATGATGCATTATAAATTATGGATGATGGAATCTAAATTATGCCAGGGACACTTGTCTGTGCTTTTATTCTGTATAGCCATACGTGATCACAGCAAAGACAGGACAGCTTGGGAATTCACATGCTGAGTACTATTTAGTTCTGTTTATAACCTCTGCATTACATTTGGTGAAAATGTTAATTAATTTTTTTAATTGCTGTTGTTATTTCTATGCCTGCCAGCATTGTCAGTTGTTAGGGCTTTGGTGATCATAAACATAAGAGAAAAAAATGAGATTTGAGTCATGTTGTTTTTCAAAATATGAAGTTAATTATGTAAAGGCTAGATATTACAGCTGAACACCATATAAATGTTCAATAGCTAGATTTAATGGCCACATGTGCACTGAATACAATATTTCTTTTTTTTTATGAACAATAATTTCTTTATAGGACTTGAAGTAAATCGCTAATAAGTTGCACTTACATCAGTGGACTCTGTTCTATCATGAGCAGAACCAAGGGTAACCTGTGACTTCTGTCAAAACTTTTATTTCAAGTCAAAGATTACATTTCGTACTGTGTTTTGAATATCAAATTTGCTCCAACTTGAAGGAATATGTTACTGCTGTGCATAGACTTGTATTTTTTTGCGGAGGCTCAAGAGGCTGGAATACAAGACAGTTAATATAGTAAAGGCTAATGCAGCATTGTCTGCTTTGTGCCGAGTGTTTTCCCCTTAGTAGATGTCATTTCAGTTAATTCTAAGGCGTATGGTTCCACTGTGCAGGGGCAGATAGAAAACCCTAAGTCATAAGCCGTGAGAAGACTAGAAATAAATGAGCCCTCTTCAGGTGTAAATCACAAACTGCAGTGGAGCAGACAGATTTTAATTATCCACGGTTCTGGCATAAATGTTTTTATTCCTTTTAAATAAGTCTAGGTTAAACATAAGTCTGTTTTACAGTCATGGTTTGATTCATGTAAAAATAAGCCCACAAAATTATTAATGTCAAAATACCTGCTTTATTTTTACAGTAATGTCTTCTTTTATTTCTGTTCACAGGAATGGATATAAATTTTTGTATTGCTCAGCACGCGCTATTGGAATGGCAGACATGACCAGAGGATACTTGCATTGGGTCAATGAACGAGGAACCGTGCTGCCTCAAGGGCCACTCTTGCTGAGTCCAAGTAGCTTATTTTCAGCTCTTCACAGGTAATACAATGTCACTTCTATGCAGAAAGAGACTTGGAGGCTGGTGGAGGCTGAATTCTCAGCTATTTTATGGGAGTGCTTGAAATAATTCATAAGGTTGTTTTTTTTTTTTTCTTACGTATTGGTGCAAAATTTAATTAAGAAGAAATTTTGTTAGAGATAAACTAAGCGATGTGACTAAATATTGAATTTTGATCTATCTCTGAGACATGCCTCAATAAACACCTAAGCACTGTTTACCAATAGGTTCTGCCTGTTGACTTGATGTGTTTCACATGGTGTCTTAATGTCAGTTATGGGAAAGAATGTGAACATTTTAATAACAATCACTTTTGTGTTGACAAAAATTTCTTTTTTTTTTTTTTTTTTTTTTTGAGAAAAATTTTTTCAGGTTTTTCTGTGAAGGCACACAGGAGAAAAAATGTGTAATTTTTGCCCATTTTTAAAAAATACCCAGGATCTAAAATTTGCTTGGTTCTGAAGAAATTTGTATGAAAATGAAATGAACTTTTTATACTCCTGACTGCACTGTGGTATTCTGTACGGACAATGTTGTTCTTCCTAGGTGTTGAACTGTAATAAATGAATAATAATAGCACAGATTTTGAATATTGTACCTTCTTCCTAATTCAGTGAAGCATGTCAAGTGATTACTGAAAATATTTTAAGCTGTTAAAAGCTGCTGTGACAGGATATATTTCATTAGAATTTTTAATGCAAGGTTGTTCAGATGTTCTCTTGATTGAGTGACATGCTTTGGGCTGTCTTACCAGTCATGTTCTAAATATAAGAGACCGTGGAAGTATTACAGTGCACTTCTTAGACTGATTAAATAATAAATGCAGTGAAAGAGTAGTTACTGTTATCTTACACTCCTTGTATCTAGAAATACATTTAAAGTGATACTCTTTTTTGGTATCTTGTTTAGACTAAAGAATACCCGTCTTTCAGTGTACACCGTTATAACTGCTGTGATATGTGGGCAATAAAGGACTTCATTGTTATCCATAGATTTAATTATTCTGGGTGTGAGGGCTCTGAGATAGGTGTATGTGAGACTGAGGAAAGATGGTCTTATTCCTCTTTTGCACATTTTCAAACTTTGATTTATACATGGAGCTGCTGTTCCAAAGGGCTGTATTACTCCTCTGAAGCTTCTGTACTACTCACATCTTCCTTGACATATGTGTTGGTGCTAGGATGTGGGATTTGGAGCTTCTTAGGAGCTTTTGTGTCATGCTGGCATCCTCCTATGTTATGGGTACTCCAGACTCTGCCACCTGTTCAGTGTCCTTGCCAAGAGAAGCTGTTGTGAAAGGGCTTTTGCCCAGAGATGAGAACTCCTCTGTTCATTAATGAATTCTATATTCTGTAAGGAGCAACTGAAGAGAAACAGAAGATTCCTTTATTCCTTAACTTTTGCTAATTAGCAGCAATGGAGGATCCTGACTGTAGAACTATTTTAACAGACTGAGGTGCTTCTAGCACATATGGTAGTTGCAATCCTTTTAAAAATAATGGAGGAAAAAAAACCCCAACTATACAGAGTGAAGGCTAATATAATCTATGAATCATTTTGCAGTTCTCAGGAAGCAGTTTACTTGATGACAATTTATGCCTCATGAGGCTTTATTTAGCAGCTACTCCCTGTAATCAACCATCCTTGCTCAGTAGCCATCTTTACAACATAGGTTTCAATAGAAGTTCCCTTGTTTTAGAGGATTTATTTACTGTGCCCATTATGTAAGCTTAGGAATGCTATTCTGTCTTGGTGAGCACTGTGATTTCCAAATGTATTGGAGAAGGTTGGAGGCTCTGTAGGAGTATCCAGTGACATAAAAATGTTGAATAGAGAAAATAAAATGGTTTGTGCTGTATTTCATGTGTACTTACTCAGTCTCCCTTTTTTATCATTTCAGGGAGGTGATAGAAAAGAAGCCAGAAAAATTTAAAGTTCAGTGTTTGACAGACATCAAAAATTTATTTTATCCTAACACAGAACCTTTTTATGCTGCTTTTGGAAACAGGCCTGCTGTAAGTATGAATTTATTTCATGGTTCTGTTGCATTAGAACCTAGAAGCTTTAAATGAGAATTAAGATTATTTTGCTTGGCCCTGTGCAAAAGAAAATATAAAGGTTCTTCCTCAAAGATTTCACAATATAGGATGCAGAGATGGAAAAGCACTAAAGTAACTATGTTACATCTGCATAAGTTGGCAGTTAAGCTTGTGTGAAAACCCTGATCTCATCTTAATCCACTCTGATACCTGTGGACAGACAGGAAAACCATTCAGGTGACTATTGGTGGAACTTACACTTCATACTCTTAAGTACAGTCAAAAGAACTTGGATGTCCCACTGAAATCAAAAGTTTCTACTTCGCGTGGAAAGTGAGATGTTTTTTGACATGGAGAGGGGAAAACGGATCTCTGTCACCTGTTTGAAGGCTACATAGTTGGGTTATAGGCTTTTCTTACTCCTGTCATAGTCCAAAAAATACTTTTATGCATCCAGAAAAGGAAGCAGTCTCAGCAGCGAGGACAGAGGCAGGGTCCCTGGTATGTGATTATCCCTTCTTTTAAACTGTTAGCATGATCCAAGAGACTGTTTTGACACAGGTAGGTCACAGTTTTCCAGGCAATTTCTGGATAAGATTGCTGTGTCAGCTTGGGGCAGGGGCTCTTCACAGTGGGCATTTGATATGGCCATATTAGTGTGTGTGTTTATGTGAGGTTGTGGGGGAGTTGTTTTCTGTTGTGGGGTTTTGGTTTTTTTTTGAGAGGGTAGATATAGAGAGTTTAGTAATACTGACACAGTGTCAAGAGACTGCCAGGTGTGAGAACGGGCGCTCACACTGCTTAGTTCACTAGCGTAGATATCATTAGAGGTGCCTAAGGAAGGACAGAGGCTTTGTTTCACTCAAAATCCTTGAAAGCATCCTGCTTTCAGAAGGATAAATATATAGAAAACCCGCTTCTTCAGTTGTTTACAGTTTCACTGGGCACCTAAGTTTAGATGCTAAGCAAATTAGACAGATAGGCCTCTTATTTGTGCACAGGAGTCCCACAGAGCATTTGGTACTTCCTCCAGTTCTGCATTGTCATGTAATATTTCCTGTAGACACTGGAGTGTGGTATAGTTACATGTAACACTAGAGTGATGTTTATGGCTATGGACTGTTGGTGTGAAGCTTGAATGGGTATCAACCCTGTTTTGGAAGCTAAACCCACTTAATTCTATGCCTGTGTCTTGGCCATGCAATTCGATCTTAAGAGAATGGTCCTTGACCCTTCATATTTCCTAGTGTAATTAGCTAGAGAATACTCCGATTGGTTACCTCTCCCTCGAGTTGGTGGAGAGAAATGGGATTTATTTGGAGAGAGAGTAATTAATTCAGGTGCTTGGTGACCATCTTTCTCCACTGACTCCACGAGAGCTAAGGCTTCTCGCTGAAATGTCCGTGGACCATGGATTCCAGCCCTGGCTGCTCAGTGCTATAAGAGATACATTCACGAGCAGAAACATTGGCTTGGTGAAATTATCAATATAAAAGCACACCCTGGCCATTGCCGGTGTGAGTATGAACATTCAGAGACTGGGCAGTTTAGATGCCTCAATGTTGGAGAGAGGTGCCTGGCAAGATATTTTGGCACTGAAACCATGTATGTTATGGCTGCATTTGAGAGGGCTGAGCATGCCTTTCTGGTGGGACTTTGTTTCTATACTTGCCTCTATTTTTGTTAGGGTTGCTGACATTTATTAGCAGCAACTTTTTCAGATTAATCTTTTAGCAAACTACATTTTTAAAAACGTAATGTTGGACGGAACCAGAGGTCTTCACTGTCCAATTTCTGTAGTAAGTTGTTATACCATACACAGCTTAGTTTCCATTATCAAGGTACCTTTAGACATATGATTCTGAAATAACTTTTTAAACACTTTTTAGTTTGGTATTATGGCTGATGTCTACACTAGTTCCATTTTTTTAAACCTCAGGGAAATAAAATTAAATCATTATTTTCATGCATACTTCAATTAAATTTCAAGTAAAGCTGTAAGCTAATGTTTCTAAAGGAACTATTGGTAACTCACTCATCTGATGGCTGTTGGAGTGCAGTCTGCAGGCATGAGATGTGCCGCTGGCTTTGTGAAGATCAGGATCATCAGTTTCTCAATTTTCTACGCTGCTTGTTTTGGCTTTTTGTTTTGATTTTTTTTTTTTTTTTTTTTTTTTTCCCCCCAGAACAAACTCAGTGAAATTTCAGTACTCGTGGTTGTTACAGGTGTAGATAGTACTTGGGCTGCCAGGATGCTGAATTCTTGAAATGACTGCTGTTCACTTTTGTTCAGTTACTTGCTTTTTTTTTTTTTTTGAACAGTCTTTACAACATAGAGATAAAAATAATCTTTACGTCTTCATTAACATTCCAGTCTTTCACGACCTCAGCTTTTAAAACCATGATTTATAGTAGTAAAATGGAAGCTTGTTTTTGCTCTGATCTTCTGGGAGCTATTTTCATCTTTAGTTTTGTCAAGCTTTTCTTCAGAACAGATCAAAACTTATTCATTGCTTTCCTTAAGAATTGAATTTCTTAGAAGGTGTTTGTAATTCTTAGTTCCAATTGTACTTCCCAGAGCTGCATCTGCATTGCCTGCTGGCACTCACTGCTGCTATTTGGCATGTGTGCCTTGCTTTCCCTTCTTTCCCCCAATACATGGATATGGCACAAATCCGAACTTGGGAGCTAAGAGATGTTCCCAGGGGTTTTAATGTAGACACAGTTGTCATGACTTCCTTTTTGTGTCCTTGTCCTTACAAACTAATCGCTATTTTATGTGTCAGTTATGTTTTAACCTCTGTACGCTGTTGCAAGATACTCGGTACAATGCACACAGGAAATGAAATGTGCTCTGAAAGAAAAATGAAAGTGCAAATGCTTTTACACCAAATATCATTAGTTTTTTATTGAATGTTATTTTTTGTCAAGAGAAGTTACTGAAAAAGTGAACATGATTTTGATCAATAGTCTAAACTGAAGTGGCAAACTCCTTACCTACCTGAAAATTGTCTGTTTCATGAGCATTTTGTTAGACTGACCTTGCTTGTAGCATAATGGAGAATTTCAGATACACAATAACTAGGTAAATTTAGTGCCAATACTGTGTAAATATGCTCTTCTGCGTAATATAGTCCAGCAAGAATAAATATTATTGTGCAAAGGCAGAATTGTGACTTTTTTTTTTTCTTTTTTTTTTTCCTCTTCTGTTTAGGATGTTTATTCATACAAACAGGTGGGAGTTTCTTTAAACAGGATATTTACAGTTAACCCCAAAGGAGAACTTATACAAGAGCATGCAAAGACAAACATCTCATCGTAAGTAATCTCTTATCCCTAATGCCTTATAGACTAAATTAATTTGCTGTTCTAATTTATGACTCAAGTTGCCCAAAGATGCATTTGATTTTACTAATGAAAGATTCCTTAGAATGTTTCAAACAAAATGTAAAAAATTTAGGATAAAATATAGACTTCCCACTTCAGTAAAACTGACAAAAAGAAATAGTTTAGTATTTAGTTCAATATATTCCATCTACTTTAATCATGTAAAGGAATTATCAGTGTACAATTTAGTCTGCTTAAAAATTAGACTAGCTGGTTTCCTGAAGCCATCTGCCTTTTCATGGCCTTTTCAAAATTTCCTTTTCCTGGAACTCCTATTTAGAAGAGCCAGAAAACAAAATCTGAAGATAGGGCTGAGGGCTTCCAACAAGATGCTCAGGCACTGTAGTACCTAACACGGAATGGAAATGGCATTTAGTCATGTTAAGAGTGTCCTGAATTGAAGGGGAGCCATATGCGTATAAAATAGGAATAATCGATTAAACAGGGAGCTGCTTGTGCCAAACTGGACAGAAATGGAGAAGCAGAATATGGGGTGTGAATGTTTTAGCAGGTGATGTGGGTGGAAAATGGCATCTATTTCTCACTAGGTAAGTGTCATTGCTTAGAATGAATGGATTTCTGATCTGAACTGTGAATCTTCTCTGGAAGCTAGGCATCAAAATTGAGTTAGTTTTACTCATTTGAGGGGGCTGATTTGCCTGTGGAAGAGTAGCCGTGCCTTAGTGGTTGAGGACTTAAAAAAATCAAAGAAAGAAGATCTGAAATGGTTCACCATTCTTTTTATTTGTTTATTTTCCAGCTATGTCAGACTTTGTGAAGTGGTAGATCACATTTTCCCTTTGCTGAAAAGAAGCCATTCTTCAGATTTCCCTTGTTCTGATACCTACAGTCAGTTCACCTACTGGAGAGAACCTCTGCCACCTTTTGAAACTCGGGATGTACATCCAGCCTCATCTTAACGGCATCTCCAAACTGTTGGTTTCAGCTCAAAGAATGAGTTAGCTTTTATTGAAAGGACACCACTTGGCTTCTGCTGTTGACAGTTCAGCTGGAATCTGTGATGTTGTGAGCATTGTATTATTTTGCTGTGAGCAAATCTAAAAATGCTTTTTCATACTTTGTCACATTTCCAGATGACAAGAAGGAGTTTTACTGGGAACAGGAGTTTTGTTTCTAGCTCTTCACCCAGCTGCTCCCATTGTGCCATACAGTTTCATTATTTAAGGTCAAATAAAAAAGAAGTGATGTTGGAATTGAAGTTAAACATGTCATAAGGTCATAAAGTTCTGTATCTTTTCTGCATCACTGAAGTAATTTTTCATCTCATCAGAACCCCCTGCAAGTAAGGGAGCTGAAGGTGCTCACCATTCCTGACACTGTTTGGTGACACCAACAAGGATTGCAGTCCATATGTCAAAATGCCTTTCTCTGAAGGAGCGAATGATTCTTCCTCTTTCCCCTTGCTTGACCAACAACTGTTTGTTTAAGGGTTAATTACTGGGCTAGATCCTCAGCTGTTGTGAATCAGTGTAGCTATCAAAACTAATAGAGCTGTGTTGATTTATTCCAGCCTGTTGTTTTGACAAGGTAACACTTTTCTGAGGAAATAACTGATGTGTAATCTAAACAGAAAGCAGATGAAGTAAGGTGGCCAGATTCTGGCAGTATTTCTCAATTTGAGACGTACCATGCTTCAAGAATAGCTGTTTGGATTAAGGTAAGTGTGCAAGTGGAAGAAACGGGCTGCTGTGCATAGTGCCCATCTTACTGATATCAGTGATTTTCAGTAAAGACATATAACCCACAAAATCTGCTGAGTTTCAAGACTGTTACTGAGCCAAGAATACTGAGGATTTTGTCGAAATGGAATAGTTTTATTTGAAACATTATTTTAGTTAAAATGTGAACTTCGATGCTGGTGTGAATGATGCATCTCAGGTTTTTACTGTATGGATTTTTTTGTTGTTGTATCATAAAGAACGGATACTTCTAGTGCAATTTACTTTCCTTTAAGATAATGAAATCTCCTCTTTAATCTTTTTTTTTTTTCCCCCTTATTTATCCAGACACAAGCTGTAGATACTGTTTTTGCTACCTGCTTTTGACAGCCTTAAGACTTAACTGTGCGTGCTAAAAGCAATACTGCAGATCAGTTGATAATGTTTTCCAAATGGTCTGCCTTTACATGATGCGGTACTTTACTTAAAATGTAGACATCAAGTGACTACATGCCAAATGATTCTCAAATGTGCTTGTAGCTAGGAAGGAAACTTTTTTTTTTTTTCCTTTTAAAATATATTTAAAAGTCTAATTGTTCTCTGAAACACTGAAAATGGCATCATGGGATTCCATGTATATTGTATTTCAATATAGCTAAAACAGTGGTTCACAAGCTGTGATCTCTGCCAGCTTGTGATCTGTAAGGCTATTGTACATGTTTTGCAGCTGCTTTGTAGTGTTTTCAGTTAGGACTTTAATAATAGGAAGGCAGAGTAGTCCAGGAGAAGTTTTAAGACGCGATTGTGATAAGTTAGAACCCAAAAGGTTGGGAGCAGCTGCTCTGCGTCACATTTGTTCTGTTTCAAAAAATTCTGGTTTTGCATGTCACGAGCGATAGCAATGTAGGTAGGATGGTAATTCTATAGTAGGGTTTTTTAACTTTTAGTGCCACAGACTTTATCTGGGATATCAGGGGGCCAATTTATGATTTCTCTGTGCCTTCAATAGTAATGAATATAAGTGCAATCCTTTATACAGCTGCAGTGTGCAGTGGTGAGCCCTCCCTGTCTTCCTTTTCACATGAACGTTGCTGCTTCGGGCAAGGTGCGCGCCCACTCTGGAGGTACGAGGATTAGACAAACACAAAGAGGAAGAAACACGTGTTTAATAACCCAGACTGGTTGTGCTCTCTTGAAAGTTTAAAGAAAATGCAAATATATTTTTACTTAAAAATGGAAGAAATGTGGTATGGATTTTCAGAAAAGACAATCAGTGAGGATTGCAGGTTGCCAAACTGAGATGGTTGCATCTCTAAATATAGCCACACTTTCCTTTAAATATCTATTAATGCTTGTCATTAATGATTGAATAAATGGATAAATATACTAACTGCATCCTATTTTAATTCAGTTTCCGTAAAGGTTTGTTTCAATCCATTTATTATGCGAAATAAAAGCAAACCAACCCTTCAGTAAAAGGCTGTCAGTTTTGTGGTTTTTGTCCTTAACCAGTAGTTCAGATCTATTTTCCGAAGGTACCATATACTGTAGCTTCCACCAGAAAAGATGGGCTCTGGAAGTTCTCCACAATTAAAGCTTGTGTTGTATTTATTTATAACTTAATAAATAGCTAATCCAGGATTGTTTGTTGCCATTAGTATTTCAAACCAAATGATAGCATGAATTTGGTCATTTGGATTCTGTGAGCCTGGTGGGCGTCGTGCAGCGCTGGTACGGGTGACCCTGCGCCGCTGCGGAGTCTCTGTCCGGGAGGTTTTAAAGACTTGGTTAAAGAGAGTTATGGCTGACTTGATGTAGTGTTGGCAATCTTCTGCTTCAGGCATGAAATTGGACGGGATGACCTCCAGGGGTCCCTTCTGACCAACATTTCTGTGATTCTGTGGAAGTTAAATGCCTGACTTCTGACATACTCTATACCCCTTTGTGTCTGTGGGTTGAAATACAGCTGAGCAGTGAAACAAATGTGTGTTTCTATAACTAATGTTTATCAGATTTGCTCACAGAAAAGACACTTACAAAAATCAAAGTTTTGACCTGCTAGAAACATCGCCATACTTTTTCAGAGATAAGACATTTTGATTTGTTAGCTGAGCAATTTTATGCATAATATTTAAAATGCTTTGTTAATTCATGTAGAAGAAAAAGGGATGGTTTAACAAATTCCTACTCTTTCTGTGAAAGAAAAAATTCAACCTTGCTTGCAGTGTAATGCTGGTTTCTGTTATAGAAAGAATATTTGGCTGACATAAATATGTAGACACATTAAATCACAGTATATTCTATTTATACAATACACGTAAACTAGGATATGCAGCAGTGAGGAGTGACTAATGTTTATTTTTGTGAAGCTGATGACCATACCCCTCCAGCTGTGTCATGTGAGGGAAAGAATACCATAATTGTTGCATTAATTACACCGAAGATAAAATGTTACTGCTGTAATTTGGAGAAGGAGGAGAAAGAGAGTATTGGGTATCTGTAGATATATTTGTAGATATAGATTATTACTTCAAAGCCTATTTATATACAGTGTTTACTCTGTATATATGTATGTGCTACTGCAATCATGAGAATAATTTTAACACCTCATTTTGATCTGCTGGATGCAACAAGGGTAGAAATATATATTGTAATAAAGGCAAATAGAAATTTTTCTGACTCTTCTATTTTTCTGTATACATTGATAGTGGCAGGGTGCTTTTGCAGAACTGCTGAAACTCTGTAAAGTGTGGCTTTTGTAGCTCCCGTCTCAATTGCTGGTCTCTTATCAGGACTATCCGGTGTAACTTCCAGCAGCTGCAAAATTTTTGCTGTTCAGCTACAGGGTTTAACCCAGAGGCTTTTCAAATGGAAAGAGTTTATTGAGGGAAACGGGGCCAGGATCTGGGCTGTGGCTGTTGTGGGGTGTGGGAGCAGCACCTCGAAGCCAAGAGCAACCAGGCGGGAACTGGAGCAAATTGGATCAGTCAGGAATCTTGCCCCACCCCAGAATTTTTTTTAATCTTCCTTTCCTCTAATTCCTAATGTGACCTAAGGATAAACCAGCCATCTGTTTTGAATGGGAGCGCTGTCATTCATGGCAATGAGACTAGATTGCCTTTTTTTTTTTCCTTTTTCCTCCTCTTTGGCGTTGACCATTCTGCTTTGTGAGAAGCACCATACCCTTTCCTCCTGTCCGTGAGAACACAGCGCTGCCTTCTGCTCCCTCTGCCGGGTTTGCTGAGCAAACTGTCTGCAGGCAGAGTGATACTGCCAGGCTTGTGCTGGCTGGTATGAAAACAAAGATGTTTGGGGTTGATAAGGCTCTGCAGCAGCTCAAGTTCTGTGTTAAAAATACAAGAGCAGCCGTATTTGGGCAGCCTGCAGTCACTGCTGCTTCAATCTTCTCTATTTTCTGTGTGTCTCCGGCTTGTATAAACATTTACACTGGAGCTCTGGAGACAGGCTTTGAAATGAAGGTGCCTTTTTAATTAAAAGTTAGAGAAATGGTGCTTTTGCATCAGCAAACTGAAGTTTATAAGGACATATTCATTGCTCCTGGAATATCCCGTTAACACTAGAGGCAGAAAAGTCTTGAGGGAGAGAGCCTTCAGAGGAGCAGACCATAAAGTTAGAGGGGGGGTTGATGCATGAAGAATGTAGGGAATATTCCTAGAATACTATATTATTTTTTTTCCTTATACATAAATAGTCTTAATTCAATATACATTGCAGATGCCATCGACCATCTCATGATAGCTTGGTGCAAGAGGCAGAAGACCATTGGTGCTAAGAGCTAGTGTCTAAAAATATAACTAATAAAACTTTCAGCTCTTCTGTGAATGCATAAAAAGGTGAAGCCTGGTGGTTGTTCTTGGTTTGGGGTTTTTTGGGTCATTTTTTTTTTCTTTTGATAAGAGTTCAGCAAAGTACGGTAGCTAAAGGAGTAGACTCACATTGCCATAACCTCAGGTAGTCCTAGCTCTTCTGCTTGCAGTAAAATCCAGCCCCTGCTTCTGCTCTGTGGCGTGTTGGAGGTTTGCAAGGAAAGGGCTGTAAATGAAAGACGAGCAGCTGGCACTAAAGAAAGCCCAGCGGTGGTCCAGAGGAATCACAGCTGCTGGATATTTTGGGAAAGGGAACCTCAGCAAGAGCTTTCCAGCCATTGGGATGGGAGGGAGAACAGTAAAGGCAAAATGAGAAATGAGTTTTCTTCTAGGAGGAACTAGAGAAAGGGAACAAGAACAGAGCAAGTGGCCAAAAAATCAGCTTCTTGTTTCCATCCCTGTGCAGAACCTGGGTGGTACCGGGTCAGGCTCTGCCCTTTCCCTCTGAGGCAGTCTCGCCTGAAATCCCATGTGTCTGCGCTGCACGCAAGAGGTGAGAAGGCCATTTTGGCTTCATTTGCCAAACAGGAGAGGGTAACATTGACCAAAAGGAAATCTATGCTTAAGGGCCCAAGGGGTACTGCTAACAGCAAAGCAAAGTTGCAATTACAGCTGAATTTTAAGCTTAGGTAAGGACTGGGGCTTCTTAATTTTTTCATGAACTTGGGAAACAAAGCTTTCACCTGCAGCGTGCACACCTCTCTGGGACCACACCTCCTCCTAATAAGGCTTCCTTAGAAAATAGATACAGACATAACTTACCAGCCTACTTAAGTGTGTGCTTAAGTCAGCCCTCCCTGCGCTGAAATTTATGCATATTCTTAAGCGCTTTGCTGGATTAAGCCAACTAATGCCAAGAAAACAGTTTACTGGGGAGATAGAGTTTCCAGGCCGAGGAATTGATCTGGCTTTTCTAATGGCTACTCCTGGACGGGTTTTTAGCCTCCAGCACTTTCAGGTGTTCTGCCTGCTGCCAGCAATCTATTTATTGATACAGGAAATCCATTTTGCCTTGCCTTGCTTTTAATGAGTTTTGCAAGCAAGTGGCCCCTTCCTGTGACTCATTCTGTGTTTTCTGAGCGGGAGATTGTGGTTTTAAGTTTCACGTTGGAAAGTAACCGCTGTGTCTGCTTTCCTTGTCTGCTGGAATCTCAACAAGAGGAATACATTTTGGAACAAAGAAATGTAAATGGAGTAGAACAGTTCACGTTTCTTTGCAAAATTGGATAAACATCCTTCTTTTTCAGGACAGTTTAGAAGACTAGTGTAAAGTGAAAATAGGTCATGTTTTAAAATAACAGCTTTATCTTAGAACATTGCTGTTAACACGGGGGAAAAAAAAGACGTTTTCCCTGATATCTCAATATGTGTCGGTCCTTTGATTTATAGCCAAAAAATATCCAAAAATTAAGCAGTGGAGGCCTTTCTCTGATCTTACTGACATGGGACCAGCTCCATTAGCATCTGGATGGCTGCCGAGATACATGGAGCTATGGCTGCAATCTGAAGTGTGAATAGTGACTGCTACAGATTTCCATCCCGCTCCCAATCCCTCTCATCCCTTTAGGATATTGGAGGCAAAGAGATGGGAGATGTAGATCTGTTTGTTTCTGACTTTTACCAAAAATACAGTGGCGGAAGGAGAGAATCCTCTGCAAGCTTGGACCGTTAACACTGAAAAGTTAGATTTACGTTAAAAGCAGCCATAAATACATCAAAACCAATGACCGGGACAGTTTCCATTCCCCATTGCTACATAAAACTATTTATATTTCAGGCTCGGTGGCTATGTCTGTACAGATAAATTGCTGCCCAGTAAAGGGCAGGGCCCGTTCTTTGGCCCCTTTGCCAACTGGCAGGCTTTGGTGAGTGTTTAGCTGCCTGCTTGCCCAGTCAGGGCCATCACTGGCCCCTGGTGTCCCTCAAACTGTGTCGGGCATTGCTTGGCCTGGCCAAGGTCATGCCAGGGACTGTGCCAGCAGCTTTCAGGATAAGTGATTGCATGCCAGAGCCTGGGTTTGTGTCCCACTGGTTTGCTGCCATGTCCGCTCTGTACCTGGGAAGGTCTGGGTCCCAGGTCCAAGCTGTAGCTTCTTTGCCCACCTTTGTCCTGTCTGGCTCGCTGATGAGACATTTGGACCTCTGCATCCAGAGGCTTTGGGATGAGCTGGGCTCTTCCTATGGGCTTGAGGAGGTGCTTCAGTTCTCCTGTAGTTCAGCCCTATCTCAAGAGAAGGCACTATCTGGCCCTGAACTGCTTTTATCTCTGTCTAGTGCAAAAATGAAGCATGTTTGGGAGGTTGAGATCATCCCTGCAGTTCTGCAGAAAGGCCAGAAAAATCTAAAAGCTCTGCTAGCACAGGCTTCTTGGAGACAAAGTGTGGATGGGGATGCACGGAAAATCATACTTGAAAGCAAATAAACAAGTTGGGAAAGCAGGAATTCAACATACCATGATGAAAATGTGACCTTTTGGTTACCCATTTCAACTGTCAAGTTCAAGCTGGCAGAGGTAACAATGGGAAGTAAAGATTGTGAGGCTCAGAAACTGAAGCAGCTTTACTGGGAAAGTACTGAGAGGAAAGAAAGAGGGAACACCAATATTATCATACTTGCCTTCCTGTAGGGATCCAGATGTCATGTAAAAATGCAATGCCGTGTATCGTGGACTTAATTTCTGATCTATGTACTGTGTATGAATGGAAATAACAAAAGAAATGTCTTTATTTCTCAAAGTATGATGGGGTGGGGTGTTTTGGGAGGGGCAGGTGGTTTGTTTTGTGTCAGTAACAGTCTGTATTGAGATATGGTGACTTAGGGAGCAGTTCAGTTGTTCACACCGCATTGCTTTCTAATGTACTCTCTGCACAGCCTGAGAGCCCACACAAGTATTACACCTCCCTGCAAGGCTTGTTTCTTCTCTTGTTCTGAGAACTGCTCCTCTGCACGTGTCACTGGCATGGAATCACTTCCATTTTCTTTTGACCCAGTAAATTCTTGTAAAACAAGGCTGTGGGTTCATGGAAGGCTGATCTGATCTACAGTTTTGTTACTGCCTAAAGGAAAAAGTCACTCTCCCTGTCTCCTCCTTTGCTCTTCCTAATTCCCCACCCCACCCCTTGCTGTACTCCCAAGATAGTTTTGTACTGCTTTAGTGCGTTAAATGGGCTCAGAGGGAGGCAAGACCTTATGTTTTTCTCTATGTCCCATGAAACTGCAACCTAAATTTTACTGTGTCTGTCTCCATTCTACACCTGTCCTCTTTATTCTTATAGTAATTGTCATATAATTGTGAGAAGACCTTATGAAGGGTCCATCAGTGAACTTGAGAGCGTAGACATAACGACATCAGGTGAGACTATGAGTGGCGATATATAACAAGTAAAGAAATTGCAGTTTCAAAACTATCTGCCCAAGATGGAAGGACTGATTGGGGAGCAAAAACCTGGTCCCAAGTCAGGAAGAGGATGCAGCCAATGCCCTGACAGAGATATTTTGTGTTGGCTGAGGTGAATCCTTCGATGTGCTTTGTACCTCAGTTCTCCATGCACGAGATGGGGGTGATGGCAGTTCCTCTGTCCCAGGCAGGCTCAGAGCACATTGCATTAATGCCTATGAGAGGCTACGATATGAAACCGAGGGGTTATGCAAGAAAGAAAAGATATTTGAACCACCACCAGTGGCTCAGCTTCTGAACACCTGACAGTCAAGTTTTGTCCTTGCTGGCCCACGAGAGAGGAAAGAATACAGTCTCCATTTAATAGTAGGAAAAAAAAAAAAGCTTGGTAGCCT